ATATTGTTATGAGATTAATTGAGATTAATGAATTACAAAGCCTGTAATTAAACAGATTATTTTGTTTATCATATCCCAGCCCTACTGCAGTATTTATTACACACAGATGAACACTGACAAAGGCTTATAAGTGACTGCAGTTTGCACACAGGACACTGGGCAGGGCAGTGGTGCTTTCATACATAAATACTAAAGTTATAGCGTCACACGGGGTCTGTGCAGCTGAAGGAGGCGACACCACCACACAGGAAAACCCCGAGTGTGAGAGTCAATCCAAAACTACACACAGACACTGGGGCAGTCTGAGGGAGGCGTTAGGGTGACGTCAGGGTGATGTTAGGCTTCTGTTATTCTTAGATGTTAGTCAGAGTTTAGTTCAGACCTTAATGACGTTATGGGCCATAGTCGGGGTGATGTTGACGCAGCGGTTGAAACAGTCTCTGGCCTCAGATATTTTTCCTTCTCTGAGCAGCTGCTTTCCCTTCTGCAGGTTCAACTCACGACGTCTGAAATAAAAAACACAAAATAATCCTCAGAACCTCAGAAGCACAAATCTCAACCTTTTCAATGTATAAAACCATGACATGAAACTATTTTACAAAAAAAAATATCAAAAGTTCATACTGTCTCTTTAAAATGTTTTTCTGGGATTCTCCGGTTTGTGTCAGTGGCATAAAGTATTTGAGTATTTGAGTATTTGAGTATTCCAGACTCACTCTCTGCGTGATTTCTCCACTTCTCTTTTGGACGGCAGGTTTCGTCCGTCAAACACCAGGATGGGTTTGACTCCAAAGTTCAGCAGCATGTCCACGAGCTTCATACAGAACCACACGTATCTGCACAAAAACACACACACACATTAAAGACACACACACACAGATTAAACACAGTGCACATGTGACGATATGATTCTAGTGACCAATGTTAGACGTTTCCTCCGGCTGTGTTCACATACACACCTGAAATCTGATCATTATTCGATTTCTTTTTCGGTTTCATGTACAGTGTGTCCCAAATATCTGACATAATTTCACAGATCAATAATTTTTGCCAATTCTTGTTGAAATAACCTCAAATTTCCACAGAATGTTCAGAAACAGATGAAGATTTTCAATGTGATGTTTTATTGTCGTTGTGTTTTCAGGTTGAGCCCAAACAGAATCATTTTGTGTGTTGAATCAGCGGCTCAAACTCACCCGAGACTGAAGCTTCAACACAACAATTGGAAAAACTTCACACACTGGAAACAAATTTAGACTTGGAACCAAAAATGTAAAGAGTTCGGTACCGGATTGGATCTGGTACCAACATCAGCATCATCACTGAGCTAGACTTAGTCGTTTTCAAGATAATTGCTTTTTTTTGGGACACTGTGTATTTTTTATTCATGTGTCAACAGAAATAGATGCACATGAACACATGTACACACACATTTTTATGCAGACACAACATAACTTTCCCAATATAATAACAATAAAATTATAAGAAATATGTGTGGTTTTCATATTCTATAATGTGAAGATGTGATAACTTCCAGATGGAGGACAAGAGTCAGTTTTTCCTCTTAATTCAATTATCCAAAATATCGGACATGTAAAAATAATATTGGCCTAAAGAATACTGTGATGTCATCTGAAACCCACCAATACTACTATTATTATTACTCAAATCAATAAAATGAATAATAATAATTAAATTAAATGAATAATGATAATAACACAAATAAAAAGTGGTGGGGTGAGGATTTCTTTTTTATTGTTCACACCTGTTCATGTTTTGACAAGGACAAAAAGAGAAAAGTTTAAGCAAATATAAAAACCAAAGTGAGATATTAAAGACCTGCAGAGCTGGAGTTGTGTTTTGTTTCATTCACACACGTTTGAGTAAATCTTTATTATGAGTCTGTCCACATCTCCAAATCTCCAAACACTCTGTTCCACCTCGTGATGTGATGAAGTGGTAGTGTCCAAGTGAACAGCTCCTTTTTTTCCCTTTAGTTCAGTCGAGATCTGCAACTCCAGGACTGAAATGATCCAGATGATTCTAGTGAAAGTTTGTGGAGTTTAAAAACACTGCAGAGGAACAGAGTGTTTTCAGTTTGAGAGAAGAGCTCAGCCTAAATGTGCAGGTTTGTGTTTTAAACATGTGAATGAAACAAAACACAACTCCAGGTCTGTTTGTGATGATGAAACGACGTTAGAACAGAGCAGAGAACAGAGGACGCCGTGCTTTTGTGACTCACTGATCGGTGGGTTCTCCTTTGGCCAGTTTCTCGGCGCAGGAGAACGCCCCCTTGTGGAGCCAGCAGTACGTGTCCACGGCCACAGTCTGCCCCCTGTACTTCTTCACGTTCACCGGCTCCGCGGCATCTTTAATGAACTGAAGCAGACCAGAGATTCCCATGATCCTCCGGGACCGAGCGCGGAGCCTCTGGAAACAGGAGACGAGAATCAGGGATCAGGAGACAAATTCTAACTCTAACTTTTGGACAAATAATGTGATTCATGTTTAAAAAGTAGGATTCTGTTCTATTTTAAACCTTCAAGCCTTTTTATATCAAACTTTATACTTTACTACTACTATTAAGTTATGTTTAATGTGTTTTGTTCACTGACTTTTTGACTTTTAAAACTTATTCTCATCGTGAAATTAATATATCTACAATTTCAGTGTTTCCCATGGATTCTGTTCAGACTCTGGCTGTACAAATACTTTCTTAATTGTCATTTATTGGCTGTATTTCATATTTACATTGTCTTTTTGAACAGTGCAGTTACTTTTTATGTTAAGGAACAAATAGAAGGTGCAGCAATTTGAGTTTTTTAAATGCATTTTTTTATGTTCATTTTATTTTTAGACTGTGGGAGCCACTTTTCTACCAATGGGAAACACTGGATTTTATTGTGAAGTGAATTTGTCCACTGCATAAAATCAATAAGTTCTACATAAAATACACAATGCTTCAGTTTCAGAGATGTTTTTTTTTTTTTTTTTTTTACCATGGGAAGTAAAAGACTCATTACTAAAAGTTCCTAAAGGTCTAATCTATGCTCTATTTTCGATGGCAGTTAATTAGGCGTACCTTTTAGTCCATATTCACCTCATGTGTCACTGTTAATAAGATAATAACCTCAATTAAAGTAGTTAAAAATCTTGCATAACAGGTTACAACGTCCTCTGCTTTATGCATGAATAACTTCCTATTGAATCTTATTCTATTAACTAATATAATCACATAACACTAGTGTAATAACATCAATGTGAGTTTTAAAGCGAAATATTCAGTGAAACATGACCATTTAAAGCGTTTAAGACAAAATAAACTATTTCAGATCTGCAAAGACACGAGAAACGCTACGTAACAATCAAAACAACGGTGAAATTACGCGCTAAAACCCATAAAACATATTAGTTACAAGTCTGGGAGATGTGTAATGTAATAAACCGTTAATAACCCGCAATGTGGAGTTTACCTGTGTGTTTTAACCCGCTTTTTATCCGAAAAAAAGAGCAGAAAATGACAAAAACACGACACGGAGCTGGAGGGAGTTTGCTTTTAGCGGCAAAATCCGTGTCACTAAACGGAGAGCTGCTATTGGACGAGAGCTGGTCACGTGTAAATATACTGCTCTCCCATTGGCTGGCAGGGCACGCCTTTTTATGACACGGCAAATGTTTGGCGAGGCTTATGAATACAGAAGCTTAACCGGGTTTTGCGTCATTAAAATTAAACTAATAAAACATTTTTATAGTTATGAGACGATACAAAGGACGATAGATAATATACAATTTCTAGTTTTAGTTAGCATATTTAGTTTTAAATGAAGAATTAAGCGAGTAATGTAAGTTGTATGAGTCAGTAATGGCCAAACTATCAATGAAGAAACTAAATAGACAATTTTTTTTTGAGTGAATTTAATTACTTTTCGAGTTTTTATGGCTATGAGACGAGCTAAAACACGTCAAATTATATTCATCTGTAGTTTTAGTTAGAATATGTAGTTTTGAATGAAGAAATACGCGAGCGACAGGAGGTTGTATGAGTCAGTACTAATAAATGATGAAACTAACTAGACATGTTTTTGAGTGAATTAAATTACTTTTAGAGTTTTTATGATTATGATACAAAATAAGAGATGCTTTTGAGGATAGATATGTATTGTTAAAGGTGTTTTATAGAAAATATTGATAAAAAATGATATGCATGAGTGTAAATGTAGAACTAAAACGTCCCAGTTTGACGCGGCGCCCTGAACGCGCCGTGAGACGTGTCGCGTTTCTGCTTCCGGCTCCGCGTCTGCAGCGGACCTGAGCGAAAACAACATGCTGTAGCGTCCAAAAAAACCCACCAAAAAAACACCAAAAAAAACACCAAAAACACCGATGACACCGATGACACCGCCACCGGGACTCTCCTAACGCCTGCCCGTGTCCACTGTGCTTTCCGCGGGTCCGGAGTGTGTGAAAAAGCGGCGTGACGATGCAGTTTTCTCCCAATAATGGAGACTTTACGTTCGTGTCTTCGGCTGAGGCGGAGGGTGAGTACTGCTGTTTACTCTTAAAATGTAATCCCCTACAGATTACAGATTACACACCCCAAAATGTAGTTTGTAACGTAGTCCATTAAATTACTTAAAGTGAGTAATGTAATCTGAATACTTTGGATTACTTGATTTGTTGTAGAGAAGCAAAGACGAGGAAATCTTCACATGAGAAGTTTTGTCTGATAAAAGAAAATAAAAAGTCCAAACTTTACTGAACCAAACTAAAAATATTATTGATAGAAAACGAAGAAACACGTCCACACAGCAGGATTTAGCCCTATTAAATCCTGGTTTAGAACGGTTTTAGACCTTGTTTAGACCTTGTTTAGTCCTGGTTCAGTCCCGTTTTAGACCCGGTTTAGACCCGGTTTAGACCTAGTTTAGTCCTGGTTTAGACCTGGTTTAGTTTCTGTGAATGTGTGGAATTACTGGAAAAAAAAAGGGATTTAGCCCAAA